TTTTTTGGTCTTTTTGAGACAGGGTCTTGCTATGCAGTTCAGGCTGGCCTTGAGCTCACTTTGTAGCCCAGGCTGGTCTTGAACTCGCAGCAATCATCCTGCCTCAGCCTCCCAAGTGCTGGTTTTACAGATGTGCGCCACTACACCTGGCTCCTATATGACATTTTCTAAATCATTTGAGAATAAATTACACACATCCTGGTACTGTACCCCTAACTACTTCAGTATATATTCATGGAAATAAAATACTCTTATATCCATGGTATACTTTATTAACATCAGGGAATTGACCTATTATCTTTATCTACTTTTCACAATATTCCAGTTCAACTCACCAAATGTGTCCTAATTTATATCATTTCTATTCCTTTCAGAAAAGTATCCATTCTAGGGTTAGTATTACATTTAGTTGCCTTTTTTAGTCTCCTTAAATCTGGAACCTTTCCTCACCCTTTATCTTTGATGACATTGGTATATTTGAATAATGCATGCCTCTCCTCTTTTTTTTTTAATGGAGTATTCCTCAGTTTGGGTTTGTATGGTATTTCCTCATTAGATTCACATTGTGCGTTCTTAGCTGAATACATAAGTACTACATCTTTCTCAGAATGTCTCATCTAGAGGCGAATTTTATCTTTTTGTACTTCTTTTATGCTGTTTATTTTCATCACTTGGTCAAAATATTGCCTGCTTTCTCATTATAGAGTTTCTGTTTCCCCCCCTCAATTTGAATAAGTAATGCTTATTCAAACAGTGGGGAACGTTCAAATACCCTGCAGTGTAGAAAAATTAATGACTTACTCCTCTCTTGCACCACAGTGATCAATACTAGGACTTCTATGATCTCTAAATGTGGGAATTTCTCCCCACCTGCAAGCAATCAGTGGATATCAACTGGGTGTCCTCTAATTCAGTATAATTCTGGCATTATCTAGCTAAAGGTAGCTTCAGATCCCACAGGATGAAGGCTTAGTCCCCAGGACTACACATTTTCTTCCTTTTTGGTATAACATATTCAGGTTCATCTTACTGTTAGAAACCAAGATCTGACTGCTGGCTGTGTATATTGCTACTTGGATATCTTTGCCTCAGATTCCTTAAGCAGACTGACCTAGGTGTGTGTGTGTGTGTGTGTGTGTGTGTGTGTGTGTGTGTGTGCACGTGTGTGCACACATATATACACAAACATGTATAGGTACACATACATACATACATTTGAGAAATCACGTGCCTATGCCAGTGCCTCTAATTTTAAACAATACAGCATTCTATTCTATTCTTTTTCTAATTCCATATTTTTATCTCCTTTTTCCTACCTTGGGAATGTTGGTTCCAACAACATCAGCATTTATTCACTAGTTCAGACTTATTAAACCAAAACTCTTGAGACTGAGAGATCTCTGAAATAATAGGATTTATTACCAAAAGAAATACTAGCCAAAAAAAAAAGAGGAGAGGTCCTGGGAGGAGTTCCCTTAGCCACCAGCAGCAAAGCTAGGGAGCAGTTGGAAAATTGTCTGCCAGATCTACAAAGCAGGGTATTTTATAATGGAAATTTGAGGAAGACAGACTTACTCAAAGCTGGAAAGCTTTGGGATAGTAATGCAGTCCATAAGGAGAAATTATTGTTTCTGGATTGGTGGGGGTTGTAAGCAGGGTACAGTGGCATCTAGGGAGTTTGATAGTGTTTTAGGTTTCAACTTACATTCAAGAATGTATAGTGATCTTTTTTCCTTTTTATTTGCAGCTTGTGAATGGATAAACTCCCCCTTTCTCTCCTTCCATCTCCTCCGGCCCTTTGTATTTAAGACATTTTAGAAATTTTTTTCTTTTAGTCAAACCTAAGCTATATCAAAATTATTTTTAGAATTTAGATGCACCCTTATCACAGAATTGTTTATTCAGTATTTTTGCAGTTCTAACCTCTTCTTCCCCTATCCATGACCAATGGCATTGGACAAATGTATTTCATTTATAAGTTACTTGGATTCTTTTTTCCCCTTTTAAATTAGGAATATTTTTACCGTAGAATACAGGTGAGTTTATTTGTTTCAGTTTGCTTTCAGTTTTAGTAGTTTTTTTTTTTTTTTTAACTCCCTTTCATCCTTACTTATAGAATTTTGTTTTGGTGAACTAAAAGTATAGTAACTTGGGGCTGGGGATTTAGCTCAGCGGCACGGCGCCTGCCTGGCAAGTGCGAGGTTGTGAGTTTGATTCCTGGTACCAGAGAAAAAAACAAAAAATAAATGAAAAAGTAAAAAAATAAAAGTATAGTAACTTGCTTCCAAAAGGCAAAACTGTACCAAAAAAAGCATACTAAGAGAAGCATCACTTGGCCTCGTGTGGTGGCACACTCCTGTAATCCCAGCACTCAGGTGGCTGAGGCAGGAGGATTGCTGTGAGTTCAAGGCCTGCCTGGGTTTTACAAAGTGAGCTCAAGGCCAGCCTGAATTGCATAGTGAAACATTGCCTCAAAAAAAAAAAAAAAAAAGAGAGAGAAGCCTCATTGCACCCTATGTCTCTCTCATCAGTTCATGCCTCTGCCTGTGTAAATAAATAACTTTTATTTTCTGTTTTATACATCCTTTGTTCCTTTTTTGTAAGGCATGTATATGAAGGCATTCTATTTCTCCAAAGATAGCAAGAGCTGTATAAGCTCTTTTGCAGTTGGCTTTTCCCCTTTATCGGTATATTCTGCAAGTCATATTATGTCAGTTTGTAAGGATTTTCCTCATTCTTTATTATAGCTGCATTTTATTCTATTGTGCATGGTCCATAGTTTGTTTTTGTTTCCAGTTCTTATGACTATTTTCTTTTTTTTTTTTAGGTCTTATGAGTAATGCATCTGGAGCAGTGCTAACTGTTATCATTGATATGAGACTGTTCTTTTCTTCTATAACTATTTAGAACTATAAATTTCTCTCATCAGGCATGGTGGTACACACCTATTGCTGTGAGTTTAAGGCCAGCTTGGGCTACATAATGAGTTCAAGGCCAACCTACATTATATAGTGAGACCCTGTCACAGGAAAAAAAAATGAAAAAAGAAAACTTCTAAGGTCTACTTCACTTGCATCCTACATACACGGATAAGTTGTGTTTTCATAGCATTCCATCAGAATATTTTAGTTTTCCTTTGACCTTTTCTATGACCCAACATTCATGTAGAAGTACATTATTTAGTTTTCAAATATAGTACAGTATTTAGGAATTTTTCACAGACATTTTTATTTTTGGTTTTTAATTTAATTTTTCTGTTGAAGTACATATTTTGTATTGCGTGGATACTTTTAAATTGAGAAGTGGGCTCTCTGGCTGTAATTGTAGGTTTGTCTATTTCTTCTTGGAGTTTTATTAATTTTTGCTTTATGTATTGCAAAGCTTTGCTCCTAGGTGTATTAACATTTGAATTATGTCCTTCTGACAAATTGATCTTTTAATCATTATGAATAGACCTTAGTTATGGTAGAAACATTTCTCTTTTCTGATATTTCCTTTCTTGGATATTAATTTGATATCTTCCATTTCCTTCTATTGTTAACATGTCATAAATTTCTTATTTTACATTTAATAATGGTGGCATCTTTTGTTTGTTTTTTTGAAACAAAGTCTCACTATGTAGTTCGTGTTGGCCTTGAACTCACAATATAACCTAAGCTGGGCTCAAACTCATGGCAATCCTCTTGCCTCAGCCTCCTGAAAGCTGGGATTGCAGGCATGTGCTCCCATGCCTCACAATATCTTTATATTTAATGTAGATTTCTTAGAGTCAGCAGTTAGGTTTTGCTTTTTTACCCTATCTGAAATATTGGTCTTTCAGATGGA